TCTCTCTGTTTAGAACTCCTGTTTCTTGGTTATTAGACATCCTGGATTGGCATTTTCTTTTGTTTTTAACCTATGGGTTTATTTCCTCTCTTTTCTGAGATATTTAATAAATTTTAGCTTTCACCTCTTCTATTGACATTTAATCTCAGATTTGTCATTTTAATTCCAAGAACTTTCTTTTAAAAAATTTTGAGTATTTCTTTTAAACAGTAATTGTTGTTTTGTATGTTATTATTATATTCTCATAAATCTAAAAATACTGATATCATTTTGGGAAAGCTTTCTTCTTCTTGCATTGTTTTCTTCCTCCAAATACCTGTTTTGTTTCAGTCTTACTTTCCATGCTAGGTGCCATTCTCAGATGTCGCAAGCTCCTTGTTGCCTGCTCCTATTGTAAAAGAGATGGAAAGGCTGACTGGAAACTCTGAACTCATGAATGGGACTTGTTAACTATGGGCTTCACTATAAAGTAATTGGCTGGACCAATTATTTGAGGAATATCTGACATTGTCTTTATGTCTTCCTTTTAGAATGTTTGAGTTCTTGGAAAAGACTATACTCATCTGCCTGTAGGGTAAAAGCCTGGGTTCCAGAGTTCTGAAAACCACATGAGAGGAGAGCATTTGCTCACCTAATGTCCCTGTTTCAATATAGTACCCTTGTCTCAACTGTGCTATAGATGTATCCAGCTCAGTGATCCTGTTTTATCCTTTCCAGAGAATACTAGGGTGAGAGAGTATACAAAAGGTGGTTTCCCAGGTATACAAAAGGGGAACAGTGATTTGGGAATCTGAATCTTAAACTGACTTTTAACTAATTTTTCTCTAGAGGAACCTGGTATGGCAAATCTTGGGTAAAACTCAGGTTCATTCTTGACTTTTCCTTCTGCTTGGATAGGATTCTGTTTTCATAGGGCTGTTGTATCTTTGATCACTCTTCCAACTATTTTATTTGAATTTATGCCTTAATTTCTCTCTCTCTCTCTCTCTCTCTATATATATATATATATATATATATATATATATTTTTTTTTATTTTTTTTTTGAGACGGAGTCTCTCTCTGTAGGTCAAGCTGGAATGTGGCGTGATCTTGGCTCACTGCAACCTCTGCCTCCCGGGTTCCAGTTCAAGCAATTCTCCTGCCTCAGCCTCCCGAGCAGCTGGGATTACAGGCACACGCCACCATGCCCAGCTGATTTTTTTTTTTGTATTTTTAGTAGAGACGGGATTTCACCATGTTGGCCAGGCTGGTCTTGAACGCCTGACCTTGTGATCCGCCTGCCTTGGCCTCCCAAAGTGTTGGGATTACAGGCGTGAGCCACTGTACCCGGCCTCAAAAATCTTTCACAGTTAATTTAGAAGAGCTTTGGGGAGGAAAGGAAAGAAGGTGCGTTGATGCAATCTGTCCTTACCGCTCTTATTGACTTTGGATCCATCTATGGCAGCAGTTTAAATTTGTTTCTTGCAATGGAATTCTTTCTTTGAAATATATGTAGAAGCTCAGTATATAAAATACATATAAGCAGGACTGCTCTGTTTGAAAAGGAAATGAGGGTTTGTGGTTTTACTTTCTCAGTTCTCCTCTTACCCTTTCCCTACCATGAGAACTCCCTGGAAAGCATAATTTGTAAACCACTGATTTAGAAGTTACTGAACGTAACTTATCCCTCCAGTAGATATTAGACATTGAGTGAAGTTCATGGCAGTATGGAAAGAACATTCGATTTATTCCTTTAGATATTAATTTTATTGTTTCTGAATGCTCGAATGGAGCAAGGCAAAGAGAAAGATTTATTCTAAAGATCTTTTAGTTGAAATACAATTGGACTCAACTTCCTTGCAGGCTAACTTTATAATGATAAAAAATAACTATCAAATACTATTTTTATTTGACAGGAAAGTCTGTAGATTTACTTGAATATTAAACAATATTTAACTATACATTCACATTTTGATAATGGAAGATGTTAGAAATTCCCAAATTTACTTTCAGAGAGCTAAAATTCTTTTTTGCTGGATTACTATTAAAGCCAATGTTTATTCTAAATTACTTACTTAAATATAAGAGTCAGAGGAGGTCTTCAGGGTGTGAAAAAATATTTAGGACTTATCCTGCAGGGAAATCATTAATAAATTTGTGCCTAGTTTAGCTTAGCATTTATGCACAGCCTAGCCATTAAAAACATTGTTATTTCCTTCTTCCTCCACCTTTTCCTGGAGTGGGCCATCAGTTACCTGATAATGCCATGGAAATATGTGGAAGTAGTTCTGCAATGCACGTCACTCAAAGGTCCAGTTGGAAATGGGTGCCAAGATTGAGAAACCTTGTCAAATGAAATGTATTTTTGTATGTCTCTAAGATGAACCAATGTATTCTTGAATGTGATAAGAAAATAAAAACAAAAAACAAATGAATCAACAGAAACCAAAAAGCACTTTACTAGTGTCAAGGGCTAACGTGAGGGAAGTGCTAGTAGCTCTTTGCAGAATCTTCCATTTTAATCCAGTCTTCTGCTGTTACTTGTTTACCATTACTGCCATTTCACAGAAGACTCAGGCTTCATCCTAAAAAACATATCTCCAATCATGCTACAGAAAATAATTCGTTAGCTTCAGCTGTAGGAATGAGACACCTTTAAAAAAGAGAAATGTGACCCAAACTTTTGTGAGAAACAACTTGTATTTTGATTGCAATTTCATATTTGGAGGAGTCTTGGAAAACTGAAAAAACCTAAAACATTGTCTTGCTTATGACCTCTTTTGGTGGCAGACTATGAATGGGACATGGGACCCCCATAAGATATATCTAGCGAAGCATTGAGAGATGGATAAACAGGTGCCTGGGGGAAAGGTACTCTGTCAGCCTTCTTATAGAAGAGTATTGAAACAGGAGAAAATGTTTACTGTCTAGAGCTATCAACTGTAGGAAAGGAAAAGTCCTGGGGAAGACTTGTTCTGGCAAAGTGCACACTTTGGCACCTCTGCAGAGAACATGAAGTTTGCCTGCAAACATTGAATGTCTACTTGGTTACATGTGACCGCAACAGGGCGTGTGTACCATGGCCTCGGCTCGCTTCTTGATGACATCATGAAGCTGGGCTCTGGCCAAAGGATTTTGAGACAAGCCAAAATGTTGTGGAGCATGCAGAAGCCACTCATTGCTTGGTGGAGCTTGCAGTGAGGCAAGATCGAACCACTGCACTCCAGACTGGGCAACAGAGCGAGACTCCGTCTCAAAACAAACATACAAACAAACAAACAAACAAACAGCTCTTCAAGCAATTGCTGTATTCGAGAACTGAACCTCTTTTTCTTGAAGTTGCCACCATAAATGTTTGTCCTTATTTTTTTTCTCTTTAATCTTTCACACACAGGCCTCTCTCACCTGTAGAATCTTGAGTGAGACCGTGGGAAGTAGGCAAGGCCATTTTCTATGACTCATCTTGGTGGACAGCTCTGACTCCAAGATCTGAGACATTTGCCGGGGGATACCCTTCCCTGTTTTTCTACCCACACCTCTGCTTTCTTCTACCTTCCTTCTCTCTCTTCCCTCTTAACCTTTTTGTTTTTACTTTTTCCATGTTCATAGGCATTCTTTCCTCAGTTGAACCTGTCCTCATGGCTCCCTGAGCCTGGGTTGGCTGATCTGAACCAGTGTCATTTTGTGTGGTTGTCAGTAAAGGCGAAATGTAACATGTGTGAAATCACTTTTAAAATGACAAGGTGGGGCGTGTGCAGTGGCTCACACCTGTAATCCCAGCACTTTGGGAGGCCAAGTTGGGCAGATCACAAGGTCAAGAGATCGAGACCATCCTGGCCAACATGATGAAACCCTGTCTCCACTAAAAATACAAAAATTAGCCAGGGGTGGTGGTGCACACCTGTAGTCCCAGCTGCTCAGGAGGCTGAGGCAGGAGAATTGCTTGAACCCAGGAGGCGGAGGTTGCAGTGGGCGGAGATCACATCACTGCACTCCAGTCTGGTGACAGAGCGAGACTCTGTCTCAAAAAAAAGAGACAAGGTGTTCCAGCAGGATGGTTTTTACTATTATATCTTCAGGATTGTTATAGGACAGGGCTCAGTCCACATAAAGCAGAACTTCCCGTGTGGCCCAGCTTTGCCCTGAGCTCCTCTTGTCATTCCACCAACTCTTGCTTCCCCCAGCTCCTATGGTGATGTCCTCTCTGGGTCAGTTTCCCTTCTCTGTCTTTCTCGTCTTCTCATTATGACTTATCTACGCTCTCTCATTTCCTCAGAGGCTTCTTAGGAACTGATTACTTTTGGTTGATCAAGCACACTGGAGCCAAGGGGATAATAGTTAATAGATTTGATGGTAACACATCAGAGAAATCCACATTTTAACTGGAGATTCCATGAACTCCAATGTGGAGCTTGACAGTGAAATTTTAGGCAGCATGAGAGGTCAGTGGTTAGGGAGCCTTTTCTTGGTAATCTGAAGCCTTGTGCATGTGAATGATTTTTCTGTTCCACCCATTCAGGAGGTGAGCTAAGGCAGTGTATAGAGGCTACTGAATAAAATATTAAGGCAGGACGCGAAGGGAAGATTTGTGGTTTGGGGAGAACAAGAAGAGTAACAAAGTCTTTTAAAGAAGAGTTAGGAAAGAAATAGTACAGTTAAGACATAATGTACAGAATGTGGGTATTTTCAGTCACCCCGGCAGCCTCTGTTCTGTTAACATTTCCCTGCATCTGGCTCTGAGAAAGGATAGGCAAATACAGGTTATGCAAATAGAGACGGTGTCCTTGAGCTGGGAGTGGTTTGCATGCCAAAGGAGATTACAGAAATTATCTTTTCAAATGTTGGGGACTGGGGGTGTTTGCTGGTGGCTGGGATTTTCTATGAATCCAGGGACAAGGGCTTCTGAGTCTCTGGTGTCAACAGGGTGGCTTGACTTGGCCAGAGAGACTGTTTTTCCCTGCAGATGTGTCCCAGTCCTCTGCAGTAGGAGCTGAGACTTAGCAGAACCTCCCTGGAGAAGATGCCCTCCTCGCCCACATTGATCTTCATGGCCATCTTTTGCCTGGAGTCATTGGCTGCAATGCTGCAGAATGGCTTCTTGGTCACAGTGCTGGGCAGGGAGTGGGTAAGGTGCCGGACTCTGTCTGCAAGTGACATGATTGTGGCCTGTCTCGCTGCCTCCCGGTTCTGCCTCCATGGGGTAGCCATGGTGAACAACTTCCTGGCCTCCTTAGATTTTTGGCGCACAGTTCCCTATGTGAACACCTTCTGGGACCTTTTCAATGCCCTCACTTTGTGGTTTACTGCCTTGCTTGCTGCTTTCTACTGTGTGAAGATCTCATCTTTCTCCCACCCCACCTTCGCCTGGCTGAAGTGGAGGATCTCTCGGTCAGTGCCCAGGCTGATCCAGGTCTCCCTGATCATCTGTGGCCTGGAAGTCATCTCATCAGCCACTGGGAATGTACTGTTTGGTCCGAGGAAGGTCTCCCTGAATTCCTGCGGAAACGAAACTCTAGTTTATAGAGTGCAGGCTTCATTTGAGCTCTACTTTTTCCTTTATGAAGGGTTTGTGTTGTTGATTCCATTCCTCCTGTTCCTAGTGTCCACTGTCTTGCTCATAGTCTCACTGTGCTGGCACTTGGGGCAGATGAGGGACCGCAGGCCCGGGCCCTGTCATCCCAGCACCCAGGCTTACACCGTGGCTCTAAAGTCACTCACCGTTTCCCTCATCTTCTGTACATTGTACTTCCTGTTCTTGTTTGTTTCTGCTTTGAAAATCATAAACTTTCAGAATCACTGGCACTGGGCCTGGGAAGTGCTATGCCAACATCTGTCTGCACTCTACCTTCCTGGTGCTGAGGAGCCCCAAACTGAAAAAGAGCCTGAAGACATGGCCTCAGCTGCAGTGCCCATGTGCTGCTGGCTCATAGGGCTTTGGAAGGTGCTGGCCATAGGGTGGTTCTGCTCCTGAGTCATCCGTGTCAATAACCAGTCCTGTGATGAATGATCCTGGTTCCGGCAGGAGTGCATATGGTTTGGGTTCTGTCTTTCTCTTTCCAGTTTCTTCTTTCTCTCCCACTTTGTCCATGCCTCAGAATCCCTTTTCCATCTTGCTGTCTGTGTTCTTACCATCCCCTCTACTGCTGTGAGTCTCTAGTCCTAGCCTTCAATCACCTTGGCCTTTGCTGGTGGCCTCATTTCCTCATGGAGCCCCATGAATCTACAGGTAAGCAACCCTAATATTTGCCAAGCATCATTTTGGTCTGTATGCCCTTTATAGAGAACTGTAACTGTCAGCAGTTGTCTCTGTTGGCAAACTGAAGCTTGTTTTTAATATATTTTATTTTACTTTAGAGATGGAGTCTTACTCTGTTGCCCAAGCTGGAGTGCAGTGGCGCGATCTCATCGCACCTCCACCTCCCGTGTTCAAGCAATTCTCCTGCCTCAGTCTTCCGAGTAGCTGGGACTACAGGCATGCACCACCACACTTGGCTAATTTTTGTATTTTTAGTAGATATGGAGTTTCACCATGTTGGCCAGGCTGGTCTCAATCTCCTCATCTCGAGTGATTCACCCACCTCTGGGATTACAGGCGTGAGCCACCGCGCCCTGCCCTTGAAGCTTATTTTTTTTATAGTGACATGGATTGTCTAGCATCATCCACTTGACATCGCCTGCCCTTCTGCTCCACGCCTGTGCTCTCGGCCTCGTCCCTCCACTTCAGCCCAATAAATCTTCTTCCCCTCTTCCCCCAAGTCCTTTTCTTCCTCATGTGCTTCTTGGGCCCACGCAATACTTCCTTCTTTCCTTTCTCTGCCAATCTCCACCATTTCCTTCCTTTGTGCTCTGCTTAAGACTGATTCCACCCAAGGAACTTTTCCAGCTGTATCTCACAGAAGGCTAAGGACACATAGTAGTTTGGTGCCACTGTCTGTCACATCCATAACTTCATGTGTTCATGTCGAATGAAAAGGAATTGTCTGATGTAAAAATGCTTTTAGGTTTTGGCCAACAGAAGATAGATGGAAAACAAAGGAAATGTCCTACAGTTCTTAATTTTGATGATCCTACTCTTCCTGTCTGCTCACTCAGGAGGTGGATCCCAGATGCTGCTGCTGAGGATGGGAATCTCCAGATTGGGATGTCTGCATGCCAGGGCTTGTGCAAGATGATCCACTAGGCCTGTAGCAATTTCAGTTTCAATTTATATTTTTCTTTTTCTTTTAATCCCTATTTTTTGGGGTATTTTATGATGCACATAATGTATTAGTAAAATATACACGCATATAATTAAAAATAAACATGCATATGGTAGTGTCTTAGCCTAGGCTGCTGTGACAGAATACCATAAACTGGGTGTTTATGCAACAAACATTTATTTCTCACAGTTCTGGAGGCTGAAACTGAGGGTGCCAGCATGGCTGGGTTCTAGTGAGGGCCCTCTTCTGGGTTGCAGCCAGATATCTTCTTGTTGTGTTCTCACATGGCAGAGAGACTTATCTGTCTTGTGTTTCTTCTTATAAGGACACCAATCCCATTCATGAGGGCTTCACCCATATGAACTAATTACCTCCTGAAAGCCTTATCTCTAAATGTTATCACATTGAGGGTTAAGGTTTCAGTGTATGAATTTTGGGAGGACACAAACATTCAATTCATAGCTGGTGGGTTGCATGTTCATATATATATATATACACATATATATATATACATTTTACTGATGGAATTCATGATAAAAAAAAGTATGGAGACCAACAGACTAAAAGAGATTGAGAAAAACTCTACACATAGTTAAGAGAGATTCATATGTTTGAACTAGTCAAAATAGAAGCAGTAAATAACAGGACAGAACCGAGGTTACAAAGAATTTTCAAATAGATAAATGCATTTATAGTCAAATGTCCAGTAACACTGGGAAGCTGAGGCCCCAAAACATTATGCTACAATGCTAGCTGGAGGCCAAGATATGGCAAGAGAAGAGAGAGGGATGACCAGAGGCAAGATAACAAGATCAAGAATTTTCTTTTGCAAGAAGATGATTAAAGGTTTAAAAGAGGAGATTCTCAAGTTGCTGGTGAGGAACCCAGGGGGATTCCCCCAGAGGGTAGAGTGAGGGTGAGGCAGGATGGAGGAACCTGTGGGAAGCTGGCACTGTGGCCAGGCTTTAAATTAAATAGACACCTAAAGTCTATGAATTATCCCACCTAGAGAACAGGTATTATTCTCATCATCAATCATGAAGAATTTTTCTTTTTCTTTGTAGCAACATGAGCGAGTTAATGACTTCCTACAGGTAGATTAATAATAAATTATGGGACTGAGCCTTGGGGCTCAAGCCACAAGTTAGTTGGAGGCAGGGAAGGCAGGAGCATGGCGGGGGTGGGGAGATCTTTCTCCTGTATCCCTTCTACTCAACTGTGAGCACCTGGAAGACTGCCCTTCCCTTGGGCAGAGCTCCAGAAGTTTACCGAAGGTGTTTGGACGGGAAGTGGGTGGTGATTCAACTCTCATGTTCTGCTCCATCTTCACAGCTGAGTGATACCAGGTTAAGTGGACTTGTCTCAGGAGTTCCTGATTGATTGATGTTCTCAATCTCCTTTTTTAAACTCTAGCTCATAAAAGCCCCAAAACACTTGGTGGCTCTATCTTGACTAAAGATACAATCTAATGTCTCATCAAGGCTTCCAAAAATTTCTGTGATCTCTCTCCAGCCTACCTTTTTGGCTTGATATGCCATCTTCTCTGTGTAAGTCCTCTGTTGTGACTAAATGTATCTAATTGTTCTGGATATAATCATGTATCCCCCTCCTTTACTGATGCCTCATCTTTTTCCTTCCAACATACAAGACAGCATATTTGTTGTCTCACAATTATGGGGCTGTTACTGCTAAACTCTTCTGAGAAATCTTGGGATGGGAATAGCATGATCCCTAACACACAGAGCCACAGACTGGGAGTCACTTGTTGAGAGTACTGAGTTGAAGGTATTCCATATAGAGAGCCAACTCAGAATCCCTATCCTACTATCCTCATGATTACACTTGTAAAGACTGGTTATGAAAAGTTAAAAACTCTCAGACTTGGCTTTTACCTAAGAAGATAAATTTAGCCATGAGAAAGCCAAATGCAACAAACAGACAAACAACAAAAGAATCACCACGAAATACATTGCATATTTAAATTCAAATGATTATTCCCTCTTTTGGATTAACTTACTCTGCACATAGTATACATCCAGTAAGTGTTTGTGGTTTATGTTTACCCCATAAAAATGCTTTGAGGGCAGATATCTGATTCATTGTTGTAGCCCAATGTCTTTCAAAGGGTTATCATGGCATGTAGGATATGCTTAATAAATTATTATTAAATGAACTGAAGGTTAAATCCACATCTTTATCATTGAAGGTGTGGGAGGTGGATGAAAAAGATTCAAGTTTTCCACATGGGAGGTTTGTAGGTGGCCGTACTCCAGAACTATAAGCCTGAAGTTTGCCCCATGTCTCCAAGTTCCAAGAGAAAACAGCCAAATGTCAGCCAGAAGAAAAAGGGCAAGGAAGAGAGCAGTTGGGAACTCTATCTCCTGGAAATTTGCATCTTCACAGAAAGGCAGAGTGAGTTACCTAAGTTCATCTGCTTTCATTTACCCAGAAGAACTGTGTCCACTATGGTTCGCCTATCTGTTAAAGAAACAATTTCATCTGGAAGTGGACTGGGGACTGGGAAGTGGACTGAGAACTGGGAAGAGATGCTGACATGCATTTTATTCCCATTTTGTGGGGGTCCTATATACGGAACTGGTAGGTTGTGGTGCCGGCCAGAAGATGTGTATTCTATTAAAAACCCCCTTACAGTCATGTTACTTGATCCTGAGCCTTCAATACTGCTGTATTTGACCCAGAACAATTTCTGCTTTTCTATCTCCCTGTGACACGTTAACCTACTTACACTCACCTGGGTGTTGATTGCTGATTTTTTTTGACTCTTTGAAGCTCATTTCCATAAAGAATGAGGTCTTTTTTTACTCTGCCCTTCTCTGGTTGATGTCAATGGTCTGACATTTGGTGCCCTGAACTTCTATTGCATCCCTGATGCTCTCCTGAATTCTCCTTATGCTACTTATTATGCCACAGGATGGATGGAATAGAAGACAGCCATTCTAATAAAGTCATTGTCATCATCATCATTGCTGCTTGTCCATATGCAGAGATTCATAGTTTCCAATATATTTACCATATTCATGGTCATATTTATTTGTGATCCATATTTTTTATAGGTGAAGAAAGGTGGGTGTTCAGAGAGGTTAACTGCTTGAGGATCCGTAGTGATTGTGACAAGACTCAAAACTTTGGGTTTCTGAGTTCAGCTAGGGATGAAGAAGATGGAGATGTAACATGTATTGCTAACCATGGCAGAGATTCCTGGTCCTGGAATCAGTTTGGATCTTGTTCTTTCCTCTGCGTAACTGTGGCTTTAGGTGGGAGTCTTAATATATAATTTGGGGCCTTATTTCTTTTATCTGTAAGATTATCTTTAGTATCTTCTTTTGTTCTAAGCTGAGATTCTAAGACATCTTTGTGAATTAGAACATAGGATACTTTTCATATTTTATAGATGGACAAAATGAGGGGCAGAGGGGCTGACATATCCAACAACTCACAATAAGGGGTGAAGCTTGGACTAAAGGCTGTCTTGACTCCTAGTACAGGGCTCATTCTGCCATATCCCATTGGCTTATCGCTACTGGGGGTTCCTCTGTGAATTGCTATTTTAGAGGCCAGCAGTTATAAAATATATATTTTTAAATTTTGAAAAAATTTGCCTGCCTCATTATGTATAATTGTCTCCTGTGTTCTTTTTTATGATGATGGTCACTGTGAGTAATAAGACTTGAATTAACCTTTCTCTGTAAAGGTTTGCTCAGTTTTCTCTCTGTCTTGGTTAGAGGGATCTTGCC